CTCCGCATCCAGCCGCTGCTTCAGGACTGGCAGCAGCTACCCCTCCCCTTGGTTTTCCAAGACTGGCCTCTGCTCCAGTTTCAAAAATCCAGAATTTTCAAATTTCCAGCAGGTGCTCAGTCCCTGTACTGTATAGCCAGAAAAGCTCGCCGGCCAAGTTTGCGGATGACACAAAGTTATTGGGCAGCCATGCAGAAGATAGGTTGCAGATGCAGGTGGACCCAGACAGGCTGGAGAGTTGGGCAGACCGGAACCAGATGAAGTTCAACACTCAGAAGTGTGAGGTGCTCCATCTGGGGGCAAACAATCCCCAACATCCCTACAGGCTTGGTGGCAACAATTTGACTTGCACCACAGCCAAAAGGGACCTAGGGGTAGCGATCGACCATCGCATGAACATGAGCCGGCACTGCAATGCTGTGGCCAGCAGGGCAAACAACATGCTGGCATGCATTAACCATTGCATCTCATGCAAAACTAAGGAAGTGATACTCCCACTGTACTCTGCACTGGTGAGACCACAGCTGGAGTACTGCTCCAGTTCTGGGTGCCGCACTTCAACAAGGACGTGGAAAAACTTGAGAGGGTTCAGAGAAGAGCCATCTCTATGATCAGGGACTTGCAAGACAAGCCATATGAGGAAAGGCTGAGGGACTTGGGCCTTTTCGGCGTACAGAAAAGAAGGATGAGAGGGGACTTGGTAGCGGCTTACCGCTACATCAAGGGAATACATCAAGAACTCAGTGAACAGCTGTTCACCAGGGCACCCCTGGGGAAGACCAGGAGCAATGAATACAAACTGGAAGGCCACTTCAGGCTCAAGTCCAGGAAAAACTCCTTCACAGTCAGGGTGTCCAGACTGTGGAATAAACTCCCTCCAGTGGTGGTGCAGTCACCTACCCTGGAAGTCTTCAAAAGAGACTGGACAGTTACCTTGCTGGGGTCCCTTGACCCCAGTTGTCTTTTCCTGCCTAGTGCAGGGGGACTGGACCCGATGATCTACAAGGTCTCTTCCAGCCCCTCATAATCTATGAATTTATGATGTTATACTGTGTGTGTGTGTGTGTGTGTATACACACTAGCAAAATGCCTGTCAAGAATGATGGGGGAGGGGGGAGGATGGGTGGGCAGGGCCAGAGGCCTGTGTTGAGGGGGCCTGGCTCAGGCTGGGGCTGCTCCCCCCCATCCCCTGCCACTTTGGGCCGGGGCCATTCCCCCCGTCCCCTTCGGGCCAGAGCCAGGACCATGGTGGCGATTGTGACAGTGGCTGTGGTGAAGTGCAGCCACCAGTAACCCCCCCATCTTTTCCTGCTCCCTTTCCTCCCTCCCTCCTTCCCTTCCTCCCCTCTTTCCTGCCACCTCCCCCTCCGGAGGCGAAGGCCCCTGGCTGTTGTTGGCCCCTGGCTCCAAGGAGCAGGGGGGGGCAGGGGGAGGCCAGTGCTGCCCCCCAGCTCCGGCTCGCTGTTATGGCAGCGCTCTGCTGTGTGGGGTGGGGTGACGCCAGTGTTGAGCAGCCAGCACCCCGTGCCCCTGCTGCCTCCTAGGAGTAGGCCCTCACCCCCCAGCTCCATCATGTCATGGCGGCACTCCAGTCCCCATCATTCTCCTCTGCCTCCAAGGAGCAGGGTGGGGAGGTGAGGCCAGCTCTGTCCCGTCAGTCCCTGCTGTCATGGCGGCGCTCCGCCATGTGTTTCTGTCTGTCCAGAGCATTCTGATTGGCTGCCAAGGCAACCAATCAGAGTTCTAATAAAGCGTTACGGACAAACAGACTAAGGCTTTTATAATATTAGACTGATATATGTGGCTTAATATATCATCTGTGCTCAAGAAAGATTAATTCAGACTGGAAAACTGGAACGTGTGCAGAAAAGGGCTACATGGATGACCTGGGGAACAGAGAGCCTGTCTTATAAAAGGCAGGGCAGATTTGTACCTTGTAGACTAGGCAAGGTAGATATAATACTTCATGGGCTGAAGCTCACTTCATCAGATGCTATGAAAAGATGTGCACAAAGCAGTGTATAAGAAGGGAGAGAGAGAGAAATTTATGCAGGGAGACTAAATAAGCATTACTTGTTTAATCTAGTAAAACAAACCCTGAAAGAGGCTATGAGAGCTACCTAAAACTAAATTAGGGGCATAAACCCAAGGAGGGAGAAGCTAAAGAATAATACTTTGACAATACTAGCAAATAAGAACAAAGGGAATGAATGTATCAGTCAAATTGCCTCTTTTTCTGGATAGAATCCATGTAAAAAGATGAAGAAGCTAATTTATAATTGCTGTGATGATCTAGATGAGGCCAAATGGATTTGGGACAAGCCAATTTACTATTTTTACCTTGTACTCAACTCAGCAACTGAAGTGCTGCAAGGCATGAGTTCATAGTAAAAACTCAAATTTAAAGTGAAAAACACATTCGCTGCTTTTTACTTTCAGTAATGCCATAATCCTAACACAGTGCTGGGAGTGTGCATTGGACTCTATTCCAGCCTAGATCTTATCAAAACCAGAAATTTCAATTGGTTCCAACTGTAGATGACTGAGAAGCCCAAACATGGTTGAGAAGAACATTTGGCCTACAGAATCTTTATTACTAGAGGTGATGGATGACCAAGAGTCCAGCTTGACTTTCAGATCCTTGACCATGCTGCAAGCTGGCATTTAGGAAGAAGGTTTTATCTGTAAGCAGGTAGATTTAACGATGAAGTCACTGACAAGCAAGGAATACAAGAACCCAGGGGCGACTGGTGGGGGGTACACATACACCCCCTGAGTCTGGTGGTCCACCCGTTGCACAAAGGTGCTGCCAACACTGTCGGCGCTCGCCACCCCGCTGCCGACATTGCCAGTGGCGTCTGCAGGCGGTCCATGATCATCACTGGCCACTGCTGCTGCTGCCAGCAGTGCCTGTGGGTGGTTGCCGACCCCTGGTTGGCACTCGCTACCCCCTCGTTCCCCGCCGTTGACAGTGCCAGCGGTGTCTGCGGGAGCTCCCAGCTTACCATCGCCATGCTTCCACCGGCACAGTCTCGCCGCCACCAGCACAACCATGCCCCGCCAGCCACCAGAGGCATGTGCCGTTCATGCAAGAACCTCATGACATTGCTTTGAAAATTAGTTTTCCTCATCAACCTTTTACTTTAAATTGCTCACTCCTGTCCATTAGGAGTAAAATCTTTCCCCGCCCTGCCCTCAGGTAAAAAATTATTATAGCTCCTCCAGTTTGGCAGGTCAGAGTCCTTATACTGATTTTACAGACAGGCAAAATAAAAGGGAAAAGTTTGGATAATTTTATAAGGCTTGTTGAGGCATTAGAACTGGAATGAGAATTAGACTGCAGGAAGTCTTTCAGCTCTGCATGGTTCACAGGACCATGTCTGCTCCATACATCTTGGGGCTGCAGACCATGTTCACTGCTTAGGAAAGGAATCGGTGGAAGGAAGCTTACAGACTCTTATAGCTCTCTCTCTGTCTTCCTTACCCCTCTCCCCCGCCACCCCTCTCCTAACCATCTGTTGCATTCTGGCTGGTACTGCTACTCAGATCTGTGAGTTGGCCCAGCATTCTTCAAAAATCAAGAGACTTGCAGCCATCCGTTTTGTGGAATGTGAAGACCAGCTTCGAAGGCTGAGAGCAACCCACATTTAAAAAAAAAAAAATCAATGGCAAACTTTTAGCCCTGGCAGTAAATTTATTGCCAAGGGCTATGGTTTGACTTCTGCTGATGGTAATGCCAGAAGGCACCTTTACTACAGCTCTGGGAGCAACAGGAAATATCTGAGTAAGGGGAAGCTGATCTCATAGTTTCTGAAGATCTTAAAACTGCCTGGCCAGAGTACAACTACCTTTTAAGATACAAGCTGCCAACTTGGTTTTTGTAATCCAAATCCAGCTTTATGAGTATAGCATCACTTAATGCTGGGACCATGAGAAATTCTGAAGGGATGGGAATAAATGTTGTTGCTGCTCTGAAGCCATCTGGACTGTTCAGTGTAAGCCATTATTTCTGATGAGTGCTCTATGAGCCACACTGGCCTGATCTCAGCGCCTTGCAACAACTTAGTCACCAAGTAGGTGGGAGAATGAGACTCCCCTTCTGGACAGGGCTCATTTTCAAAGGTGAAGGAAATGAAATTTGCTTAATGAAGCAAAATAAAAAGAAAAACAACCCTGCATGTGCTGGAGCTGGGGCATCTGCTTCGCCACTGTAATATGCCACGTACATTTGCAAACCTGAGTCTTGTTGTGGAATGGAATTTTTCCATTCTAGGGCAAGCATCACAGACAGTTAAAAACAGGAATGCTGTACTGTAGTAGGAAACATGGGAAGCACTTTTTTCTGCTACCTATATTTACATTGTATAAGATAAATGATGGAGATTTCCTGTTTAATATGTGATGAGTTTCAACTACAATCCCAGGGTAATGAAAACTGATGCACGCTGAGTAAGGGCTTGATCCCTGGGCTCTGGATCAGGCACCTATAAGCTAGATCCTTTCAGTAGAAATAGATTATTGTGATCAGGTAAGTTTAATTGAGTGTGCCCTTTGGGGGGAGGGAGGGAAAGAAGGGGATGGTGATCTCTGCAAAGCTAACACAGCGAATGCTTGATCACAGGGAGGCCTGAGGTCTGTACTTCTGTACACAGAAGATTTAATTATTGTCTGTCTGAGGGATAATGTTTAAAAGACCCAAGGATTAGGCTATTGGATAGAGAAAAGGTGATGTCAAAAAGATGGAGCTGTATCTGTGGAAACAAGAATAAATAAAAGAGAATCTGTGCCCTAGCAGGAGGCACATAAACAGCTTCTCCTGCTTGCACATTTACCGAATAGCTTTTAAGCAGTTTAGCATCATCACTTTTGTTTATCACCTGAATACAGTTGAGCCAAACAGCCAGCTGAAAGCAGCTTCCTATTGTTTGCACACAGCATAAGACTAAAGGTTGGGAACAGTCCCCTCCTCCTGAAAAGACAGTGGTATGTTCCTTAGCTTGTGAGCTCCAACTAAAAATCAGTAGCTGTGCATTTAATTCTGGTCCTACCTTGCAAGGCTGTAGATAGTATTCAGCATCCTTGCAATCACTTTGTTTTCAGAGACGGGTGTTGTTGGTTTTTTGTTTTTCCTTTTTTTTAAAACACTCCTTTGGTCCATCCCCTTCATAAGCCCTTGCAGAGAATCAGTGGCTGTGTGGAGAAGCAAATAATAAAAGTGCAGTGGCTGAATCCTAGAGAATGGATGGTGTCAGCAGCAACAGGACCATGTCCTACAGTAGATGGAGTTATGACAGGTATTGGGTATCATGATTTTTACCTTGTTTCTTGTTTGTATTGGTAAAAAAAAACAATTTGCAAACTGAGTCTGACACACCTTCTACTTGGGAAAGCTTATACCTTATTGCCAGTGCCTTTTAAAAATCTCAAATTTAGGTTGTCTAATTACCTAGGCACAGTTTCTGTTGTTAGTTTGACCTGCATATTTGTTTGAAAATCTGAATCCGTATTTAATGCATCTGTTTTGGCAGAATCTGGGTTCAGCTCTACGATCTTAAGTATGATTAAGCATTAAGTATAATTATCTTATTTAATTTGGGTAAGTTAAAAACTTTTGTATATAAGCGCTTTCTCAGACTTTTTCAGAATACAGTTTGAGACTTGGTTAGGATTTCAGTGATCAATATGACCAGTTACCCAGACAGGCCTGTAAAAGAAGGAATTATTTGCCTGTCAAATAGATTTTGGCGTTGGTACCTGGGAACTGGCTAAAATAATAAAAGACGAGTTGCTGTTAAGGTTTTGAATATTTTAGGTCATGGTAGAACAGTTGTATTTTCAGACAAGAGTTCTGAAAATGCTACATAATGTCAGTGCAACATAAAGCTGAGAAATCCTGGTTTAGGAGTCCCAATGAATCTGCTAATACTTGTACTGTATTTTGTGTTGAGACAACTATTTGCATTTTCTTCCTCCTCCTCCATAGAACGTGCAAGTGAAAATTATTGTGCCATTAGCATTTTTTTTAATGTGGATGTACAGTAACTCACACAGACAGAATTGGACATGATTCATGGTTGTGACTTGATTATTAAAGCCCCAAACTTCTCATAAAAACATTTTATTATGTAAATTGTACACCTGAGACTGGCTTTATGTGCTAATAATGCTGTTTCTAAATCACTTTAGAAAGTCAGAGTCACAAAAACAAATCCTAAGATCTCTAGTTGCTTTAAGAACTGAAAAGCAGTGTATTAAATGCCACCCACATTCCCAGTGTGTCTGTGCAGGGTTATAAGGCTTTGTATACAGATAGTGCATTCCTATAACTTAGCATCTAGAATGCAAACACATTAGTAGAAAATGTGCAAAATGCATACACATTGTGCAAGAGGAGTCAAGTAGGAATATGTGCATGTTCATACACATTCACACACGGGCAAGGATAATTAAATAAACAAGCTGCATCTGTATGTATAATACTGTTCCCCTATAAAAGATAGGATGTTCACCGTTTTCCCCCTGTACTATGTATACTAAGTAACAGCATCACAGCAGGGATATACTTGCTTCTGTTCCATATATGTCAAGTTTGTAGCAGTTGTGAAACCTTAATCTGATAGTAAACGTAATAGAAATTTCAAAGGCATTAGTCTGGAACATGTCTTCCTTGTAACAGCATTTGATTTAACTATGTTTACTGCTTTAAAACCATTTCTCCAGTCCATTGCCACAGTAATGCAGACTGAAAAGTCTTTACTGCTATTTATTAGCATTGTATTCAGTATGTATACTGCACATTTTTCTGTCTGGTTTCTTTGCTTTTTGTTCGGCATTTTGGAGAGAAATGCAATATTCTAATGTATCGTTTACCTTCAAGGTGCACAGATTTCTGAGTCTGATTTTAATACCTATATTTTTAAACAAACCCAAGGTATGTGAACCATTGCCTGTATAATTTATTCTCTTCCAGTTGCTAATGCTGGAAGGCTGAGGAATGAATTGCTGCTTTTTCAATAGCCTCCCCCTGTTGAAAAATGGTGCAGAGTTCTTCTTGTACATCAAAACTGTCCTCCCACATCCATCTTATGCCCAGTACAATTATGACAAGGAGTCCTCTAGTATCTGAAACCTCATTGTGCTGTTGTTTCTATTAGAGGCACTGAACATGATGCATCTTCAAGAGATCATACCAAACATAAAGTCAGGAGGAGAGAGCTTGCTGTTAGTTAGAATAAATGCACCTCAAGAAAAAAAACAAACTGGCAGGTTGTAGTCATCTCAACAGAGAATACACCCAGAATATCCTGTGTTCCTATGGGTACTTTAGCTTTTCTGTGTTACCTATATACCATCAGGCATGGAGTTAAAAAGGAATTGCTCACCATAGGTCTGTGCTGTTTTCTTCTAATTTTATCAAACACGCATACAGTCTGCTTCAATTGTGCTCTTCCTATATACTTTCTGCCCTGTTTTAATATTATGTGTATAGCTGTGTACCTCCTGGAATTTCAGATCTAAATAAAAGACAGAGGGGGTGCAAATCTGCCTGTAGTTCCAACTACAAGCATTAAAATAACGCAACTCGGGAGACAACACACTTAAGGTATTGTTCAGTTTCCCTTTAGAAGTCATAGAGTAGATTTGATTTTTATTTTCCAACTCTATTCTGTAGCCATCAGGACAAGAAATATATTTTTGGTTTTTTTTTTAATTAAAGAGTGATTAATCGCCTCTTCCAACAGGTGGGGCAGTAAGAAATACATTAAATTTATTGTAGGACTATAGATAATTTCCTAGGAGTTGGACACACTACTGTAGAGGGGTAAAAGCACTCCTAATTTGGCTTTGGGAGAAAATGAGACCTTGGATGAGTCATATTGCCTCTCCACCTCAGTTTTCCTATCCGTAAAATGGAGACTAACATACTTATTTGTGAATGGTTTAGTATAGTGCTCTTCATCAGTCAAGGGACTATGTATAGTGATTGATCCCCCCATCAGTATTGGGGAGAGAACCCCTCAGAGAACAGCCAGCACTTCTATCGCCAGGTAAACAGTGGCTGACTGAGAAATCTATGAGTCCCAGGGAACACGTACACAAGGGCATGTGCATCAGACTTTATGTGACTGGCTCTAAGTCTTCACCACTTTGTAAGAAACATTTTGTGGTAATAAGATGTATGGAGTGTCATGGTTGAATAGTGTGAGCAGTGTCAAGCTATTCAAGTTCTCTTCTCAGCAGTGGCAGTGAATCCTCTAATCTTGCTTTCTTGATCTGGATAATGGGAATAATACTTTTGTTCCCTCAAATGTGCCAAGAGGGTTAGCTAATTACTTATGAAGCTTGGTGGAAGCTAACTGTACTTTTGACACTCCTCATTCTGGTTATGCTGGCTTTCACTTTATCACTGAAAAAATAACTTACAATTTTTTTCATTAGCAAGACAAGAGTGGTTGTGGGAGGGGAGCGGAGAAGAATGGTCTTCGGGTGAGTCCACAGGACAAGCTAGCTACCTTACATAAACGTTTCCTTCCTATGCCTGCTTAGACAGGGAGTTTCTTTCTTTGCATGTAACTTTTTTCGTTGAGTAGATCCTATGCATTACACAATGGGTTTCGCATATAGGATTCCTGGGTGACTTATCAGACATGCATGTTCTATACTGGAGCTTCAATAATAGTAAAAGATGGATATAGACCTAGGTTAAAGCCTTTGAGAAGGGAGCTTTCCAGTGGCTGTGTAGGGGTTGGCAACATTTAAGCAGGGGTAGATAAACTATTCTTCCTTAATGTCAAGCAAATATAGAGTTTGGGATTGGAACAGAATACCCCAGCTCTGCCACTGACTTGATGTCTGAGCCACTCAGTTACCATATTTACTCAACTATAAGATGAGGTGTCCCTCCACCCCGGCAATCAGCTTGGGTGGGAAAAGCCCCTTGTCTTATATGTGCACACAAAGTGGTGGGGGAAAGAGGCATCTGCTGTGACCCTGAGTCTGTCCCTAAGCCTGGGTTGGGGCCAGTCAGACCCACAGCAGCCTCCTGCCCCTACCCGTGCCCCTGCTTCCTCTCTAGTTTCTGCCCTTCCCCCTTGTTTCCCTTCTCCCCCTTATTGTCAGGCACAGCTCATGTGCTGTGCTCTAGGACTGAGCAGCATCTGACATTAAGACGTGGGGAAGGGGCAGAGACTGGGGGGAGCAGGGGAGGGAGGGGCAGAGGCTGTGGTGAGCTGGGAATGGGGGTGCAGGTGACTGGGGGGAGGAAGGCTGCAGGGGGAAGAAGTGGGTGGGGCAGAGGGCAAGGGGGGCACCTGCCTTCTCCCCCAGCCGCTGCTTTCTCTGCTGTTGCAGTTGGGGATGGGAGGGTTCAAGGCAACCCTCCAATACTTAGATTCTGTACCTGGAAAATTCTAACAAATTTATAAATTTTCCATATATAGAATCTAATTATTGGCATGGTGGGGGGCTCATCTTATAGTCAGGGTCATTTTCTATTTGAGTAAATATGGCACTTTACCTGTCTATCTCCATTTCCCATTCATGTAAACTAGGGCTTATAGTATGGAAGAATTGCTCCATTATCTTTCTGGAATAAAAAATGGAGTGAAAATTAAGAGCCGACATTTTCCAAGGGGTCCCCTGAGTCTAAAAATGTTGCAAACTGCTGTCGTACACCCACCTAATTTAGAGACAGATTGGGGGAAGTTGGGGGATGTTGGTGTCTTCTCAGTGCTTTGAACAAAAACTATAATACTGTATAAATCCTACATTTTAATATTTTACTTCTCTGTGGGGGAAACACAACATTTTAACCTTGATGAACCAGGTTTCAGATTCCATTAAGACTTTAATATCTCTGATTAAGCATTCATGGCTAAGCAAATGAATGATGCTGTAGCACACTTGCGGATTTTGGGCTCCTAGGCTCAGCATGTTATGTATCTATGAGCAGACAGATTCGCTACTGTAATGCTCACCTGCATTTTCCTCTCAGTGCACTACCATAGGCCTCACTTGTTGCAGAACTACCACTTCTGCAAACTGATAGAGGCCATGTGCAAGGGGGAGAGGCACTTTGTTGTAAGTGGGCACTCATGTCTTGAAAAGTATCTTAACAAAATGCTGCCTTATAGACCTCAATCATGGAACACCTTAGGTTTTTATGGGGAGGTGAGATGATTTACAATTTTTAGTTATGCTTTTCAAAATTTGTCCATGAAACTCCAGTATGCTCTTTTCTTTTAGACGTCTTGCCCACTTGGAAGAATTTCTCTAACCTATCCTGCCCATTCTT